TTTTCTGCGAGGCATAGTTCACATCAGACAGTGCTTCTTGAAACCAGTAAACCCAAAACAGGTGTGTGTTTTTTAAGGGCAGGACAGCTGTCAGCAACACATCCAATATCATCACACTGATTGGAGTCAAGGTTGGCTCACTCCTGGCTCCAATTAGCTCTGGGAGAAGTCATTAAGCTAGGGCCTCACATACTTTTTCCTCCCTGCACTGTGAATGTTTACATATTATGTGCAATTAAACCATGGCAACATCTAATGTTTGTGTAGTATTATGTTCAGCAGACTGTGTTCTTCTATTGTTGTGACTTAGATGACGTTCAGAGCACATTTTATGCCCAATTCATGCAAAACTCCACGTAATCCCAAGGGGTTCACATACTTGTTCTTGCAACTGTAAATACCAGTTGTTAAGCAGTGGGCAGCTGCCAGCTTCCTTAACAACCAGTAACTGTCATGTTTGTTAAGGAGTGGGTGGCCGCTGCGTCCTTAACAACCAATGTGTCATCAAATCGGGAATGTATTGGGGGCTCCGCGCCATTTTTTTTCTTAATTTTTCATTGCCGACAACTATTTTTTTTACATTCAGCTAACAGCTGATGACTCATCAGTTGTAAAGGATGCAGCTCCTTAACAACTAGTACACATTCCTTAAATACCACATGCCTTGACCACTACTTAATTACAGCATTCATTTATTTCCTTCTGTGAACTGACTTTAATGTCTTTTTATGGGGTATTTACCAAGCGTTTTTGCCATTTGCGGTAAATACTGCATACTAGCAATAGTGAATTGACATTTTCAGTATCGCATGTGATATGTGGTCACATGACCAATATAACCTTAAGTGAATCCTCTCCTGTATCTGTTTTTATTTACACTTTAAGTTTGTTTTGTAAATGAGTAGTTTTACTATGTACCTCTTACTCATTCACATAAGTGGCAGGTGGGGGAGGGTTGACGATATCTGGCGGCCCCCTTAATATTATAAGATCAGAGTTGTGAGTAACAGGCCCTTGTCCTCATCACTATGGGGACAAGCTGCTCACCATGTTGAGGGCATGTGGCTTGGTATTGTTGAAGAAAAGGAGTGGGTGCATGCTTGTCTCTCCCTTTCCTGGCCAGCCAGACTGCATGCTTGGATAAGGATCTTGTGGGAATTTTTGTGATGGACTTCATACTTTTTTTTTCTCGTGATTTTTGCCTGGGATTCCTACTTAAAATCCATACCAGACCCCAAGGGCTTTTTTCTTTTTTTGTGAGGTATACTCCTTAAATTCATACTAGACGCGGTATGTGCCATTTCTTTTTCTTTAGTGTGGGAATCCCCCATTAACATCAATATGAGACCCTCATCTAGGATAAGGATTTGGCATAGATGAAGGGAATCCTTGGCCCCCCTTTTTTTTTTTACAAACAGAATGAAGTGGCTAGGAACTGTCATTTTGCCAATGTGTTTAAATACACATTGTTTTCTTTGTATAGGAAATGTTAGTTTTTCTGTAGTAGATTAGATACATCACACAGATGTGCCACTTCACGGGCAGTTTCAGGGCATCCCTTAGGCTTGTTATATTAAGAAATTTAGGATTTTTAATGTTTCACCATAAGCATTACTGAAAATGATGCTCACTGCCAAAGAGTTTTCTTTTAATGTTTGCTTTAGTACATGTCACCCAGGGCAGTGTCCAGGCTCCTATGCCATTTGTTTAACAATTCCTTTCTTGTTAGTCTTGAAAATGGCCATTACTCTTTTTTTTTTACATTCTGCTCACGATAATTATTGTGGAGTTTGAATTTGGCCTCTGAACTTTGGTCATGTTCGCTTAACCTTCCCCAAACCCAGGTATGTTCATCTGATCACTAGTATGCAGCATTGCAAGAAATAAAGGGGTTGATTTGCTAAAACTGAAGAGTGCAAAATCTGGAGCAGCTGTGCATAGAAACTAATCCACTTCCACGTCTTTTATTTGTCAAAGCTTAACTGAACAAGCTGAAGGTAGGAACCGATTGACTAACATGCAAAGCTGCACAAGATTTTGCACTCTCTAGTTTTAGTAAATCAACCCCAGAGTTCTGGGTCCTATAAAAAGTAGATGTTGTACAGCCTCAAAAGCTGCCCTGCCATCACTGCCATATTTTCCAGTTGTAGGTTAAACCAACTGTTCACATGTGACAGCTGACCTTCAAGAAAATATCTGTAGAAATCCAATAGCGCCAAACCCTTATGTAGCCAGTGAAGTTGAAGGGTGGCCATACTAAGCTTTGGGGTTGACTTACCCCACAAAAACACACAGAGCATTGTGTTAACATGATTCCAATTTAGAGGGTATCCAGACCAGTGATAAAAATTGGTAGGAGTTTAATTTTAAAGAAATTCACCCTTTAGATAAGGGAACATGGTAAATTGCTTCAAACCTCCAGCATGGGAGCCATCAGAGGGGGAATATTCAGGGGATGTGGTCAGACAAATTCCTAGTAAATTTTACCCCCAAGTACAATATGGACATCATCCATTTTAGAGGCAAGGAGGGGACAACCAGTACTTAAGGCCCATCATCTAGAGGTAGTATTTGCAATTTTCTCCAGTTAACCATGAGCCCTGGATATGACATGTGCTTGTTCAATATACCCAGAGCTGACATCAGGGATCTGCCAGAGTCCTCCAAAAATAGGATCAGTTTATCCACATGTAATGCTAAATGTTTTTCAATGCTCCCAACCCAAAGTTGGTTGTCCTTTGGTGATGTCCTAATAGCTGCAGCTATGAGTTTTTCCACAAGGGCAAAAAGTCTTTGAGTATTTCAAAGGACATGTTCACCTATTTTTATCATTGTCTTTGGTTCTCTGTACAGCAAAGAGTTCCAGGTTATAAAGTTTGGTCCAGATCCCAATCCCAATAAGTAAGACCTGTTGCATGTATCCCCATTCAATGGAGTTAAAAGTTTGTTTTTTTTATCTTGTGTTGCCATTACCCAGGACTCCGTATGTTCATGTGTCAACTGCATATGAGTGTATAGTCTGCAGAGGTTGATAACAGTGGCTTTATGCAGCATCAATTTGTGAGCTTTAATTTCACTATATTTGTTTAACCACTCTATTGATATGCCATCAGGTGACTTCATTTAGAAAGTATTGCAAAGTTATCACCACCTATTTTTTGGGATCATCACTAATCTTAACTATCACCCTCGATATCCTATTTAGGCTATGGTTATTAGGGTGGCTTCACACTGATCTGCTGTGCTTTGGCCGTAGCTGGTTTTCATGCCGGTTAGCTGCACTGTCCCATAGATTTTTATTATGTCCTGTGGTTTTGGTGCAATTTCTAAAAGCACACCAAAACTATGAGACAAAACAGAAGTCTATGGGAAAGTGCAGTTAACTTGCACAAAAAATGCAGATCCACTACGCTGCACCCATGCTGCGGATAAACGACATGGTTGTTAAGGATCGGGTGGCCGCCAGAATCCTTAACCAGTAAATATCATGGTTAATAAGGAGCCAGCAGCCACCAATGTGGCATGGGGTTCCCCTTAAAATCCATGCCAGACTTGAAGGGCCTGGTTGGGCCCCCCAGTGCGTTTTTTTTTTTAAATGCTAGCATTTGTTTTACATTCCGCTGTCAGTGGGGAGCAGAGTAGACATAGTTGCTAAGGATGTGGTGGCTGCCCACCCACCCATTAACCACTTGCCCTGCTGAAGATTTACCCCCTTCCTGACCAGGCCATTTTTTGCATTACGGTGCTGTGTTACTTTAACTGACAATTGCGCGGTCACGCAACGCTGCACCCAAATTAAATTTACGTACTTTTCTTCCCACTATTTGAGCTTTCTTTTGGTGGTATTTGATCGCCTGTGCGCTATAGAAAAAAAAAGACCACCAATTTTGAAAAACAAACAATATTTTGGACTTTTTGTTATTAAACATGTCCAGTAAAAAAATTTTAAAAAATCTGATTTCGTCATAAATTTAGGCCACAATGTATTCTGCGACATGTCTTTGCTACAATAAAATCCCAATACGTGTAAATTAATTGGTTTATGTGAAAGCTATAGCGTCTACAAATGGCGGTATAGATACTGGAATTTTTGGTTTTTTTTTTTAATAGTATAGCGATCGGCAACTTATAGCGAGACTGCGGCAGGCATTCTGACACTGTTGGGAACTGACTTGGTGTCATTGACATCCCCAGTGACACCAATACAGTGATCAGTGCTAAAAAAAAAAGCATTGACACTGTACTAATGGCACTGGGCAGAAAGGGGTTAAAATGAGGGGCGATCAAAGGGTTAACTGTGTGCTGGGAGTGTTTTACTAGGGGGCTGTGTGTTGGTGCTTCACTGTGCACAGCCATCCAGAGCAGTGTGCCTGAGCCGACAGGGAGGAGGACTATTAGTAAACAAAGCAGTCCTCCCCATCGGAGATGCTCGGTAATCACCAGCTGGGACCCAGTGATTGACAGCCGTACCCGCGAATGGTGGCACGTGTAGGGCGCACGCACAGCTCGGGCCCCCTACCCGGAAATACAAAATCATGTATATATACACATGATTTTCTGCACCTCTGCTGCCCTGTAGCAGTATATCTGCTATAGGGTGGTCAGGATATGATTAAGGACTATGCTATTTATTTATTTCAGGTACTTATATAGCGCCATCAATTTATGTAGTGCTTTACGTTCATATATTGTAAATTCACATCAGTCCCTAACCCTCAGGGGGTGTGCAATCTATGGTCCCTAACTCACATTCAAACATACACATACTAGGGCCAATTCAGACAGGAACCAATTAACCTACCAGCATGTTTTGGAGTGTGAGAGTACCCGGAGGAAAGCCACACAAGCACAGGGAAAGCATGCAAACTCCAGGCAGGTGGTGCCGTGGTTGGGATTTGAACCAGCGACCCTAGTACTGCCAGGTGGAAGTGCTAACCATTAAGCTGCTGTGTTGCCCCTATTTATTGGTTGTTAAAGTGTAACTAAACCCAGGACCCTGCATTCCCTCTATCTGGTGTCCCACAGTACACACTAAGTGGAAATGCAATTATTTTAGTGAATATAATTATTTTAGTAAATACAAACTGCTAAATAACTTTTCTCATCAGCAGAGCAGTCTTGTGACTTATATCAGTGTCCAACAGAGCATATGTTAAAGCTTGTTAGAGTAGTTTTCATTCTGCTGTAGGAGGATACAGAACCCCTGACCCTTTCTCTGGACAGTGCTGACTGGCCCTGTGCTGATCACATGCATTCTCCCAAGAAAAAAAAAACCTCTCTAGCATTACACACCAAACTGAGCATGTGCAGAGTGTCTCCACACGATATGTCTTATCAGGAGATAGGAGAGGGACACTGGAAGAAGAGGAGGATCAGAGAAGTCAGGATAAATCAGCCTTTTTACACAATGCAGAGGATTAACCCCTTAGGTCCCACAGTGAGTATAACAAGCATGCTTTACTGCATTTACAGACTGATTTTACTGTTGTGGGTTTAGTAACACTTTAAGGACGACAGTGTGTGCTTCTTGACAACCAGCTAAAAATAAAATACATTCTTTAACTATCGCATGCCTGGACCATTTCCGCATTCATTTATTTCCTTTAGTGAATTGACTGTAATGTTGTTCTACGTTTTATTTCCTGTTTTTGTTTTTTGAGGTAATACCTCATATAGGCATAGTGAATTAACATTTTCAGCATCGCATGTGGTATTTGGGAAAAATGTATCAGATCACCTAAATACCGCATGTGATCTGCTTTAGTGAATTGAGCCCACAAATTTTTGGAAAATAAAGAATTTTCTTTTTTATTCACAAACTTGTTATTTTAACAAGTTACATCTCACACACACAGCATAAGCATACTTAGAATTACACCATAAAACACATTCTTCCATGCTTCCCAAGTATGGTGATACCACATGTGTGAGTTTTTTCACACAGCCTAGATGCATAGAAGGACCGAAAATCCAATGAGAGCTTTTGGACCTTTAAGGATCATAAATTACACATCTAATTTCCTAACTACCTATCACATTTTTGGAGGTGAGCACTAGGACAGTGGAAACACCCATACTATGACCACATTTTGGAAAGCAAACCCCCCATGCTGTAGGCATGTTGCCTAGTGTGGTTCAGGAGGGAGGAGAGGTGTTTGCTTGTCCCCCCCCCCCCCTTTTATGGCCTTTAGGGTCTGGTATGGATTTTGGGGGGGACCCCACACCATTTGTTTTTAATTTTGGCGTGGGGTTCCCCTCAAAATCCATACCAGACCTGAAGGGCCTGGTATAGAATGGAGGGACCCACATGCTGTATTTTTTTTTTTAAATTCTTTATTTAGTGGTATATCACAGAAACAATAATAATGATAATGTCACAAAACACACAGGCAATACAGAAGATCAGTTACAATAGCTAATAACAAATACAGCGCTCTATAAACTGCCCATGATAACAGAGCAAGGATGAGATATTAAGTGGACAATTGTCCAAAATGTAAAGCTTACCTCTAATAACTCTAATAACTAGCCACACTGTCTACAGTAGGCAGAGGAGGGCACCCTGGTGGTCACCTGATGGTCACCAAGAGCCGTTGGCTGAGGTGAAGTCTAAGGTGGGGTAGCCTGTCACCATCTAAGCATATTATTTTTTTGTATATTTTATGGAAAGAAAGGGGTATGAAAGAGACAGAGGAGAAATAGTGGGGGGGGGGGATGGGGAAGTTAGAGAAAGAAAGAGAAAAAAAAAAAGGGGTGGGTCCATAGCAGCGTGGAGAGTCAGCAAGGTTTTGTATGAAGTTGAGAGTGACCTTCGATGGTAAGTAGAGGTTTGAGTAGGGAACCCGAAAAATGGGAGAGCTGAGCAGCTCTCCACTGATCAATCGCAAGAGGTTTCTGGTTAGTTAGCAAAGTCTTGTTAGGAGTCCACCCAGAGGTGATGGCACCAGTTCACCACTTGGGTCATGTGTGTTGTAGTGTAGTACAACGCAGGATCAGGAAAGCCTATTCCACCTCTGAGCTTTGGTCACAGTAGTAATGCTCTGCCAATGCGTGGGTGCTTACCCTGACAAACTTAATAAAAATGGAGCGTATTTCATAAAAGAAAGTCTGTGGAATTTTAACTGGTAAAGCTTACAGTAAGTATAAAAGTCTGGGCATGGCGTTAATTTTGAGTATGTTACAGCAGCCAAGTCAAGCGAGGGAATCCAATTCCTTAAGGTCCGTACGGTGGTAGCCAAAAGAGGTTGGATGTTCAGAGAGTAGGTGTTGTAAGGGTACGTGGGAATTCAGCTACCTAGGTAATGTATTGATCGAGTAACCCACCAAAATGGGAAGGAAGGGCGAAGAGTTGGGCAGGGAAACAATCAATGCCTCTAATTTTTGGAGGTTAGTGTTAAACTTGGATAAGCAGCTGTATAGAGGTATAAGGTTATGTAAAATAAAAGATTGTCAGCATATGCTACCACTTTGTGTTGTTATCGTCCTAACTGAACACCTCTGATATTGGGATTGTCTCTGGCATGTTGTAGGAGGGTTTCTAGGGAGAGAGCAAATAAAAATGGTGAAAAGGGGCATCCCTGTCTTGTATCGATAGAGATGGGAAAAAGATCAGAATCAAATCCATTCACCTGGACTGTAGCCGTAAGATTAGTGTATAAGCCCGCAATCCATATCAGGTGGTAGCATTTCCACTGCCTGAAGTGTCTCCTTGAGAAATGTCCAATTGACCCTATAAAAAGCCTTTTCAGCATTGGTGGACAAGAGTAGGAGGGTGGTACAAGATCTCTTCGCAGTCTTTAAAATGTTCAGAGTCCAGATTGTGTTGTCTCTTGCTTCCCTAGTCTGAAAAAAGCCTACCTGGTTGAGAGCTTTCAGGCGCCGCAAAAGTGTGTTCAGCCGGGACACTAGGCTTTTTGAGAATTATTTTATGTCACAGTTCAGAAAGGAGATGGGCCTGTAACTGGTACACTTTAGCGGGTCTTTACCTGGCTTTGGCAACACAGAGATGGAGGCTCTGAACATATCTGGAGGAATAGCATGACCCTCCAAGATGGTATTAAATGCCTTGATGAAGTGAGGGGCTAAAAGGGCCTGATATGCTCTGTAATAAGGAAGAGTGAAGCCATCAGACCCTGGTGCTTTCCCTGGTTGAGTGTCTGAGATAGCTAGAGCAAATTCCTTAGTGGAGATGGGTTGGGATAGTTCTTCTTGGTCTTCATCCATAAGTATGGGAATTTTGCTTCCGGGAGGTAGTCCTACAGAGAACTGTAGGAGAAGATGGCGGTAGATTTGGGGTACTGGCCGAAGTTGTATAGGTGAGAACAGTAATTACAGAAAGTGCCTGCCAGAGCGGGGGATGCCTGAATTTTAGGTTGAATATATATTTATTGAAAGAAAAGGATTTTAGGGTACAGAAAAAAGGGGAGGGGAAGGGGAGATAAGAAAGCAAGAAGTATTTTTCATCAAATATATCACAGCTACTATTATGCATAGGCATGAGTAACAGCAAGAGCAGAACAAAACCATGAGAATGGTTGTAGCAAATAACTTCTATTAGACAAAACAAGAGTATCCCCTGCACCATGGGTGAAGGCAGACAATACAACCATGAAATTCAAATGATTAGATACTTGTAGGAAGGAGAAGAGAAAGAAAAAAGAAAAAAAAGGGGGGAGGGGGGAAGGGTGGATAGGAGGGCTCCCAAGTGGAGGGATAAGTGGTAGTGATACCGTTGAACCAAAATCTCCTTAATTGAGAAGACCTGCAAATTAATTTAATTAAATATAAAGGAATGTCATTCAGCTCAAACCTTATTAATGAGGGAGTCAATTGTGGAGCTTTTCCGAAGAGGAGTAGTGTAACCATATAAATCATAATTTATTATCTTTTTCCCAGTTGTACGTTTCCTTGGCCTGCATTTCCTCCATTAGCATGATATTATTTATGTTATCCACCCATAAAGTTAGTAGCGAGGTGGTAGTGGATTTCCAGAATTTGGAAATAAGCTGTCACGCAGCTGACAGAAAAAATCTCAGTAGGCAGGACTTTTGTGATTTAATGGAGCCTTGTAAAATAGACAGTAGAGCTATTTTGGGAGAGAAGGGAAGAGACTCATCATACATCTTGTTATAAATATGAAATACCTGAGTCCAGAATGGGCGGATTCGGCCACAGTCCCACCAGATATGAAGGAACGTTCCTCTCTCACCGTGACAGCGCCAAGAAATTTTGGTAGAGGAGGGGAAGATTCTATGAATAGATACTGGATCCCGGTACCACCTAGAAATCAATTTAAAGTTTTTCTCTTGTGCATAGGTAGAAACTGAGGATTTGTGGGTAAATAAGAAAGGTGTTTGCCAGTGTTTAGGGGAAATCTCAACATCCAGATCCCTCGACGAGAGTCTAAAGTGGGTAACATATGGTGAGTGTGGGTCAGGATCATTTTGCATAGCTGTGACAGAGAGTGACAGGGTAGCTCAGGACGAAGGCAGAGTCATATAGAGTTTTACAATACGTACATACAGTATGCATAGAGTCGTCAACCAGTCCAATGATCCAGAGACCCTATCGTCAGGGTGCTGAAAGGTTCCCAGTGTAGGGTGTAAAAAAGAGTGCTCCGTGGGCCAGGATAATTGATCATAAGAACCATAAGTCAAAACTCCTCTGCTTACTGGCAAGGCTGGATTATCAAATACAGGAGTGAGTGGGCTTGGGACAGTAGAAAGAGAATATGAGTCCTGTCGATGGTACAAAAGTAAAAGTGAGGCCAAATGTTAGAGGTGAAAGTGATAACATGGTGTGGTAGGTGGCACTATAGCAAAAAATTGTGAATCTTCAATTGAGGTGATGGCTAATTGCAGTCCTTACTTAAGTGTCTTTCTTGTGCAATTTTGCTAATAAAGCGTATTTTCACTTGAGTATTGCATTGTCCTTTTGTAACCGCTTTTTTTGTTGTAGGCTTTTTTTGGTTATTGGGCAAAATTTTGTACTTCAAAAGAGTGATATATCTCAAAGTCTGGAAGGCCCACACCACATCAGATTTAGGATAGCATAAAAGTTTATTTTTTTAATCTGGATGGATGGTGTTGCCAGATGAACCATATGGCAAGGGAGCGCAGGGTCCAGAAAAAGGGTACTGGAAGTGTAATTGGTATTGTTTGAAATAGGTATAATAACTTTGGCAGTATGTCCATTTTTACCACACTTATTAGTCCAAACCAAGAAATTTTGATACCAAGACTCTGGGGATCTTCTAATTTTAGTAAGTAATGGGCTGTAATTGAGGGTGCATAAATCCTGGGTGACAACGGGAATCTCCGTACCTAGGTATGTGATAGACTTGGTTTGCCAATGGAAAGAGAAATTGCTTTTAAGAGTGGAGAGGACAGACTGGGGTAAGGAGATATTCAAAGCTTGTTTTGGTGATATTCAATTTAAACTTGCTAAATGGTCCAAATCTATAGAGTTCATGTAAGAGAGAAGGAATGCTAGTATGGG